GAGAAGAAGATTTAAGATAAACATAATTATAGAGATATTCCAATAATTCTACTCCTAAGGTGTACCTATTCACTGAACCTTGGTTCTGTGTTCATCTCTCTACCTTCCATAGGAAAAGAACCTGTTTTGTCTTTTGCTTAAAATGTCCAAATATTTTGAACACCTGCAGTCTTGATATAAATAAATACAAAAACAAAGGGAAAGAGCACTATTCGGTATATTGCAAATAAGAGCAGAGCCAGACATAAATATGGTCTCACATTTTGATCACTTGAAACTAGTGCCCATATCATCCCAATTCTGATTTTACTGAATGTATTTCCTGACATCCTAGTTTCTCTGATGCTAAAGAACCTAACAATTGAAAGTTCTGATTAGTTCTTTAGGTGACTGCAACAATTACTCTAAGCATCTAATGTTTAAATCTGATACAATCAATGCATTTCTATTAAAGCACATAATCTTCATACCATATTCTTTGAAGCCAGCATGCTGTAGTGAAGCACTGAATGTGGTTACTTTCATAGCAGTGTGCTAATAATAGTTTTCCCAGAAAAAAATGAAAGCAGTGAGACTGTTACTAGAATGATTTTTAATAAAAGATCAAGATTGTTTTTAATTAAAACTCTAAAACTGTTCTTTGTTCTTTTTTTTTTTTAAACTCTGAATAAACCAACTCCTGATTGCCTTTTAAAGGAACAATACAGTTCTTGAGACTCCTGTATTACCAACAGTACTTCTGCATTGTATTCTATCTCTCTTTGTGACAAAACTCATTCTTTCAGGTTGCTGAAGAAGTCTCTTAAAAAATCCTTAAGCTACCATCATTTGAACAGAGAGCCAACTTGCATTAGCTAGAGCATCCAAAAACTATTTAATAAAGTTTTAGAGAGTGTCTTAAGAGACCTTAATGATTCACTGTAATAGCAATACAGGGAAAAAAAGTACCTGGCTCTTTTTTTCCCCATCTTGCTACTTCTTCAAGTGCTCTTTTGGCCGAGTGCAGCTCACCAGTGACTATTTCCAATATGCTGTCTTCATCTTTTTCTATTTTATAGCCTGTGGAAACTTGATCTGTTTTCAAACTGACCACCTTTCCAGATACTTCTTTTTCTCTAGTCCTCTAAAGTCATTCTAAAATACTTAGAGTTCTGCTGTGGGTCTTTTTCCTGAAAAACATATTTCATAAATACAGGAAATAAATCAGAAATTACATTCAAACATTCAAATTGTGAACAAGAAGCTAAGTTCCCCAAACTAGTGCCTTTGTCAGATATATCTGGGGTATAATTAATCCAATAAGCAGTTTAATGTGGAAAGAATAAGATGGGGCAAATTTTCAAACTATTATCTAAATTTTGTGAAGTATGTAGGTGTGGAGTATGTAAATTTTGTGGAGTATGTGAAGAAACAGATGTACCTACTGGTTTTCTTGAAGCACCTATGGTCAGATGAAGACATCTTGTTCCAGTTGATACAGATTTGGGTTAAAATGTTAGAACTTCATCAGCTGATACCTTTTGCTCACTGCTGTAACTTGGGTAACATTGTGCTCAATCATCTGACTTGAGAAGAACTGTCAAAAACTGCCTTGGTGCTGCTGTGTAAGCAATCTGCAGCAATGCCCTCTGTATATCGTACGAAGAGTTTGTTGTAGAAAGGGGAATATATTTGTATTTTTAATGTTGACTAATGAGTATTCATTAGATCATTAATCCATCTCTCGATATATTACGTTTCTGCTCATCCGGTGATTACATAGTTTCCCATGGAATTGTAAAAATGGACACAAGACTACAACCTCCTGGTAACATTGATTCGCCATCCTAAAATAGGAGGAATCAATCACACTTGATTTTGCATGTGAAACTGAAAACTTACACTGACTTTCCCTGTAGGTTAGATGTGCAACAATTCGTAGCAGCACAGATAGTCGGGTGTCATTCTTCGAGCTGCTCCATTTCTGCAAGAACAACCTTGTAGCCAAGGTTATTAAGAAATCAGCTAATAGTCTCTGTCTTTTAGAAGTCTGTTTAGAATTCCCTTCTTTAAGGCACATTATCTCAGATTCCATGCACAAAGATATGAATGGTGTCTATTGTATCTGTAAGAAATGTCATCAAAGCTCTAATCCCAAAGCATCTCATGAGAAACAGAAATACCTCAATTCTATTTAATTATTCCATTAAATTGAGTTAAGACATGTACCTGGGCATAAAGAATATAATCAGATGTTCCTTCATACTTTGTGCAGCAGCAAAGGGGACAGAGAAGATGGATGCTGCCAGAAGGACCCCAAAATCAACACTCATTGTCTTCTCATAGACCCATGTATAACCTCCTAGAAGAAATGGATGTTATGTGATTGGATGAAGCATCAGAGAAATTGAGCCATGAATAATAATGAAAAAAAAAAACACTAAGGGAAAAAACATAATGAAAGAAAGAGTAACAGAGTTCCCAGTTCATTCGCTCATTGGGCTCTTCTGCCTTGTTAAAATCTACCCCCTCCTCCTGGAGGAGTTTCACTTCCTGGAAGTGTTGAGTGTTTTTTAACCCCCAGGAAATCTGAGAGTTTCCATTGCCTTAAGAGATAGTTCCTTCCTGCTTTATACCCAGTGTCACTGCCTCATCAAGGCTAAATAGTTTGATTAGTCAGTGGGGTGTCAGAACTGCTATTGTCAGAATCAGACTATGCCTTTAACAGGGTCCACTACTCTTTCTTTTTAATCTTGTTCTCTCATTTTTATCTTGTTCTCTCTGTATGCCAATTTTCTTCCTCAAGCTTTCTTTTTCCCAGTGTTTCAAATTTTTGAAGTACTTCTCCGGCTTTACAAGTTGTCCTCAGTGCCTTGTGGTAGGGATCTCACTGTTATCCTACATATCAGGTTAGTAATGGAATTTTTTTTTAAGTCATCTGGTCCAACTCCACTGCTTAAAGGACGGTCCTCTTTAGTCACATTAGGTTGCCCAGCACAGTCAAGTTGTCAGTATCTCCAAAGGCTGAGGTTCCAGAACCCCTCTGGGCTGTGCTGGTTCAGTCTCAGGGTGAAGAATTTTTTTCTTTATATCTGATTGGAATTTTCCTTGCTGAAATTAGTTTGTGTTGCTTCTTGTCCTTTCAGTGTTCACATGAATGGAAAGTCTGGGTGTGTTTTCTAGTGGGTGTTCATAGATATATTTGAATTAGATTAATTAGACCACTCCTTTCTCCAGGCTGAAAAGAAACCTGTTCAGTTGGCTTCTCCTTGTGCATCAAGGCTCGTCTGGATGGGGCTTGGAGCAACCTAGTCTAGGGGAAGGTGTCCATGCCCATGGCAGGGGGGTTGTAACTAGATGATCTTTAAGGTCCCTTGCAACCCAACCTATTATCTGATTCTGTGATTATTTGCTCCATCCCTCTAATCGTCTTGGTGATCATTTACTGGGGTCAACATAAGGTGATTGCAGAGCTGCTGCAATTCATCCGTTCTCTCTGGTACTGGACACTGCTTCCTTCATGTCTTCTCTCTTTCAGGGTCTTTCACCTCTAAGAGCATTTACAGACTATGTTCCTTGTAAACAAATCCATGCAGGAAGAGCTATCATGGAAGGCTTTTGGTGCCACTGATAATGTTTCAACAGGGTAGTGCAGAGGGTGCTCTGCAGAAGGGCAAGCCCATCTTCCTGCTTACCAGCAGCTTGCATTGTGAATTCTGAAGATTGCATAATTATCTTTAATTAAGTGACAGCAGACGTTATGTCAATTTGTGTAGGAGTGTGTTTTACTCTAAAATTTCACAGAGAACTGGCCATGAGTTTGTTTTTAATTTGAAATCTTTGAGAACAAAAGCAAATCCAACAGATTAAATGGCAAAAATACTGCTAAATGTCTTATTATCTTTAGTATGATTTCATCAAAATTATATTACACAATTACTCATCTGTTTCTTCTATAATACAACAGGGAAGAGGAGGAAAAGAATTCCAAAAAAATCATTGAGAAAAATATTATGTAAGTACTTTCTGGAACAATATAATTAATGAAGGGATCTTTCCACAAGCTGATAGAACTAAAATTTAATCAATGACATTTCACCAACTGTGATTGTTATTATTCTAGAGTCACAAAATGTTTTTTAAAAAGATATATGTAGATTAAAGCAAAGTGAATCCATTACATGCTTATTACTATCACTTTCCTTATGTAAAGAATATGTTATTTGAGAGCAAACAGTATCTGAACTGATATTACAATTGCATTCCACCAACTGTCTTTAATCCAAAAACTACAAAGAAAGGGAATAAGGTATTTTTTTGAGGGCACTACAGGAAAGCAACAGAATGGGGTAAACTGAGGGTGGTAAGGGAAAAAAAGGACATTTCCTGACTTCTGGGGAAAAAAAAGAAGACAAAATGGTTTCCTATGAAAAAGATCTAGTTCACTGTAATAATTTTAGCAAGGGTTTTCAGGAAAAATTCATCCATCTTACCTTTTCTTCATAATCTGTGAAATTTCACTGTAGATGAAATTAGTCCACTGTCACTCAGGGTTATTCCAAAAACTAATAGGGTAGGCATTTGGAGATTAAGCAGTTTTCAACACAGTCATATATCATGCAGGATACATTGCTTTCAGATTTATCAGAAAGGCTGAAAAGCAGCAGGGGTGTCTGCCACATCTATGAAAAGTGATTATGTTCAATCCAAATCTCATATATGGAGAAAAAGCAAATAACAGAACTGCAGTAGCAGGTATAAAGGAAGCCTGAAAAGGAAGAACGCTTCACTGAAGTAAACCTCACACATTCTACTCAAATCCTGCCTTTAGTCTTTCTCAGAAGCACAGGGCTACAAAGCAGACTACACCTGCCCACTGCTCATACACTGATTCTTTAAACAGCTGGAAGTTTGTTCCTCCAAAGTTCGGGGTCCTGACTCTACTCCTCACTAGGCCCATTCCTTGAGACCACAAACTCCCCCCAGGGCACGGTCGCTACAACCCAGGCTGCTCCAGTCTGAACTTCTCTGATGAGTTTTATTTGTGTATGTGAGCACCAGGTCCAGTAACGTTTCTCTTCTGGCTCTTTTTCCAATACCTGGACCAGGACGTTGTCGCTGACACTCTCCAGGAGTCTCCCAGATTGCTCGCAGCCAGCTGTGCTGCTCTCCCAGCAGAAAATTCAGGGGATTCAAACCTTCATCAGGATAAGAGCTTGGGAACTTGATGCTTTTGTAGCTGCAGCAAGAGGCCTCACCAACAGCCTCCCCTGGTCAGGCCCCTGTAGCAGACTCCAAACACAAAGTGCCCTTTGTTGGTCTGGTCCTCCATTTTTGTCCACAGGCTCTCAACCTGTTTGTGGCTGTTCCTCAGACACAGCTCTTCATAATCAATCCATTCCTTAACACAGACATGTAGATGTGGCACTGGGGGACATGGTTTAGTGGTGGTTCTTTTACACCTGCACCAGGGAGACGATTGGCATTTTGTTTCAGTCACAGCTTTGGGGAGTCTGTCTGCTTTGTCCAGGGAGACCCTGGGGTGGGTTTGCACTCGGTGTGGTGATGCCCAGGACTGGGCTTCCAGCTGGGTGATGAATCTCCGGTGGCTGTGACATCATGGAGGATGGGTCACAATGGGAGCTGTCACCAGGGCCATCACCAGCTTGTTGCACAAGTAGATTTGCAAGCTGTCGCCACGGGCATCCACAGAGAGCCCCAGCCCCACTGCAGTCAGACTCGGACAAATGGCAAGTACACTTGCAGGCAGAAGGTTGGGCTGGATGGGGGATGGCAGATGCCCACGGGGGTTTCTAACCCAGAGAGAGAGCTGAGCCCCTCGGGGCAGGGCACACTACTGCCCTCAGAGCTGGGGGCAGAGGGACTTGTAACTCCCAGTGGTGACAGGTGCCCAGCAAGACTTTGGGGACGTGCTGGGTGCCCTCAGCTCCCTACTCCCTCCCACCCAGACCTAATGAACCCCCTTTCTCACACCTTCTCAGGACCATGTCTTCAGCAACCATGCTCTTCCTTTTCCTGCTGGCCCTCCAGCCTGGCCTGAAGCAGGATCACCAGATGGATGTGGCTACAGCCAAGGACATGCTGGAGCGTGAAGTGCTTCTGCGTCAGGAGATGATCCGTCTGCTGCAGGAGATGGAGGAGAGGAAGAAGGAAGCCACATTCCTTTGTATATTTCAGCAGCACTGGCCGTGTTGCGCCTCTGCAGTGGCCCTGGCCCTGCTCACTGTGGTCTGGTGGCACACCAGGCAAAGGAAGCCTCAGGAGTCTCCTCAGACATTCAAAGCCTGCTGCTCTGATCTCCCACCAGATGTCTCTGAGATTGAAATCAGGCTGATACTTGGCGATCGCGATGATTCCGGAAGCTGAAGCAAGAAGGCCTCATCAACAGTCCCTAGTCTATGAATGTTTGAATCATTTGTGCACCTTTACAAGATCAAATAGATCTATGCAGATCCAGAAGGCACTGATAATCTGCCAATAGACTCCTCTCTTTGGAATAATATAATATATTCAAATATAATATAATATCAGGTTGGTGTCCGGTCATTAGTGGGGTTCTGAAGGGCTCCATCCTTGGCCCAGTTCTCTTCAATGCCTTCATTAATGACTTGGACGCAGGACTTGACGGAATACTAGGTAAGTTTGCCAACAACACTAAATTGGGAGGAGCTGTCGACTCAGGGCAGAGAGGCCCTGCAGAGAGAACTCGACAAATCAGAGAGATGGGCAACCCCCAACCATAGGAAGTTTAACAAGGGCAAGTGCTGGATTCTGCACCTGGGATGGGGCAACCCTGGGTGTGTGTACAGACTGGGGAACGAGGGGTTGGGGAGAAACCCTGAGGAAAGGGACGTGAGGGGTCCTGGTTGATGGCAACCTGATTATGAGTCAGCAGTGCCCTGGCAGCCAGGAGGGCCAACCGTGTCCTGGGGGCATCAGGAAAAGCATCACCAGCTGGTCGAGGGAGGCGATTGTCCCGCTCTGCTCTGCTCTGCACTGGTGCAGCCTCACCTCACAAAGCTATTAAAGAGTGTCCAAAGGAAGGCAACAAAGATGGTGAAGGGTCTGGAGGGGAAGCTGTGTGAGGAGCAGCTGAGGTCACTTGGTTTGTTTGGTCTGGAGATGAGGACAGAGGGGAGACCTCATTGTGGTCTTCAGCATCCTGATGAGGGGAAGCAGAGGGGCAGACACTGATCTCTTCACTTTTATGACCAGTGGCAGGACTCAAGAAAAGGGCATGAAGCTGTGTCAGAGGAGATTTAGGCTGGATATCAGGAAAAGATTTTTTACCCAGGTTGAGCACTGGAACAGGCTCCCCAGGGCAGTGGTCACAGCACCAAGCATGACAGGGTTCAAGAAGTGTTTGGACAACACTCTCAGGCACATGATGTGATTCTTGGGATATCCTGTGCAGGGCCAGGAGTTGGACTTGATGATCCTGATGGGCCCCTTCCAACTCAGCATACTCTATGATTCTATGATGTCTATGGATTGCTCTCAGTTTTACAAGTGTCATCATAGTTTCATCTCTTTTTCAGCCAGTCTGGTCTCCCCATCTTCACTGTCATAATGGATGTGTTGAATCAAGAGATTCGCACTTTTCCAGGAGTATCATTATATTAGAAACAACACTTGGTGTGAAACCCAGGGGTGGGCACTTGGGCACACAAAAATATCAGCACTGCAGACCATGAGCAATGCAGATCTGAGGCTCCTGTGTGGCCTTTTTTCTGGATTTTGGAACACATGGCTCTGCAGGCGTAGCATTGCCTCTTCCAGCAAAGCCAGAATGACTCCACAGGGATCAGTGTGGAGGCTTGTGGAGCTGCAGCTCCTGATTATAGCAATGCTTTTGGGTAAAGCAAAGCAGGAGATGAACTGTAGGAGGTGCACAGCAAGGATGGAGCCATGCCTCACACAAGGCTGCTCCCTTGCTGGCTCGGGTCAGGATGCACCCCTGGTTTCCACCCATCACCTCAGGGTGATGCCTTGAGGCAGCTGCCCCCAGTTCCTCTCTCAGGCCTAAGAAGGATCAAGAGAGTGTGGGGGTTTGCTCTTCTCTTACATATTCTCTTTCCTCAGGCCCTCAGGTGGATGACTCCCCAAGGCAATGAAAGGAAAGGGTTTGGGATGCTCATGTGAATAAAGAAGAATAACATATTGGAAAACTTAAGTAAAGGCTTTCACAAAGAATCTTCATTAAGATATTTTCGCTAAGGGAGGGTGAAGAGAGTGAGAATATATCTTAAAGGACAACCCAACTAGTGCAGGGTATAACAAATGTCTGCAATAACAAGCAACAGTAAGAAGCCTAGGAGCAAAATCCCAGACTGCATGATTCCATCCCTTTAATGCCTTTAACCTTGCTGCTGGAGAAGGATCAGATTCCTTTTTCACCCCAAAATATACATCTCACTGGAGAGGTAATTTTTTTGAGACAGACAAAATGTGCACTGTGGTACAGGGCTGTTTGTGACAGCAGAAAATACAAATGTTGAAAACGACCCTTCCAAAGAAAACAGACCCATTCCCCTGCTATGATTTAACGTGGAGTCTCATCCAGTGTCTCCATATCCCTGGTGTGGATGTGGGAGCAGCCCACAAAGGGATGCTGTGGCTCAGAAGGGGATGCTGTAGCCCATGAAGGGATGCTGTGGACCAGAGAGGAATGCTGTGGCGCACGAAGAGATGCTGCCTGCTCCTGGCAGCATGTTGCCATGGCTACAAGATGAGGTGTTTTGGGGGGAAAAAGGAAAAGATGAACTCTGTCAGGGCTGCCAGTCTGCAGCCTGCCCTGGGAGCCACAGCAATGCCTTGTTCAGGGCAAACAAGGGTAGGAGGATCTCCATGGTCTCTAAAACCCACTGCCTGCTCCAGGGCTCACAGCTCTGCTATCAAATGTGAATCTCAGAAAGGAGAAATTATTAATTCAAATCTGACTAGTTCATTTTCCCATTCCTCACATGCACTCCTTAGCCTTTCAAGCTTAGTTAAGAGTGGGCATAAAGATTATGCTGGCAAAGGGAGCCCACAGCATCCTCCTCACAGCAAACACCAGATTTTGTGCTACAAACAGGGGAAAACAGCCTGTGTGTCATGAGGCAGCAAAATGCCTGGTCCTTCCTTATGCTGGGTGTCCAAACCTTGTGCTGCTGATCTTCAGTAATGCATATGTTCAAGATTGTCGTGCTTTGGTTTTTGTTTTTTTCGGTTTTGGTTTTTTTTAAATAGTGCATTTTAAAATATTTTGAGCATTGTGAAAACTGCTCCAGGGGAGTTGGATATTAAAAAAAAAATTATTTACTGAAAGAGTGGTTAAGCATTGAAACAGACTCCTCAGGGAAGTGGTGCAGTCACCATCCCTGTAAGTGTTCAAAAAATAAGTAGATGTGGTACTTCACAATATGGTTTAGTGGCCATAGTAGTATTTAGCTGAAGGCTGGACTGGATGATCTTGGGGGCCTTTTTCAACCCTAATGATTCTGTGATTGTGTGATTGGCTCGAGCTTGCACTAGCTGACAGTTCATCTGGCCATCTCTTGGCTTGTTTGATCCTGAAAATCCTTTGTCTCTGCCTTCACTGCAGGACAGGCTGTAGTATTCCTCCTCCCCAGAAGTCCTTCCTGGGGACAGGTCCTGCGGATGTCCAGCATTCCCCCAAACTATGATAAAGAATGACAGAGAAAATTTGATTATTGCACCACAAATTGCCTGGGGAAATGTAACCCCAGAAGTCTCCAGGCACATGAAAGGAAGGACAAGGTGATCTGAGGGTTTCCAGGGCTGCTGGTCACCTTGTGAAGATGCTCAAAATAGGCTGCAAATAACATCAAAAGGCACTGAAAAAATACTCCCTATTGGCAGGCTAAGTAGGAATTCACACATCTAAAGCAGTCTATGATCTGTGTATTTTTAAATAAATTGAAAATAATCTTTTTTCAGGTTTAGGCTTTTAATAACATTTTTGCCTTTAAGAATATGGTGCAAACACAGCCTCTTCAGAAAAGACCACACTCCACATCAATACTCACCCTGAATGTCAACTGGTAAGGCTCATGTCCAGCTTTTCATCCACCAAAACCCCCAAGTCCTTTTCTGCAGGGCTGCTTACAATGCTTGTGGATTTTCATGATGCTCAAGTAAAGCAAAAAATGGAAATAAAGACTCTTTTAGAAAAAGGCATATGGTTCTGTATGCCATAATTTTCAAGCTGATGTAACTGCAGCACTTCAAATCCTACTGGAAATAATTTACACTGTAAAACTGCAGAAAAGTGATGTACCCAGTGATAAAATGGAAGAGACAAAGTTCTGCATTTGAGGACTTACTATAAAACCTAAAGGAAGTGGCAATTTAAATTAGAGATATCCATCTTGCAAATTTTTTGAATACTCATTGCCACAGAGTTATTTCATCTTTTTTCTTCACTGTTTCTGTCTCAATTTGTCAGGAATCTGTTGCTCAGGAGTTCAGCCAACAAAGGTAAGATCCGGGTAGTCGTGGTCTTGTCCTTGAAGTCAAACAGAGTTTTAACTTAGGGTTTTTCCTTTCTCCTCTTTGTGTGGAATTTTGTGGAAT